AGCTTTCTAATGCTGTAAATTCTGATCATCCTGAAATACTTACATTTTGCTCAAGGGGTTATTCTTGTTCTGCCACCATAACAAGGGGGAATCCTGAATGGCTGGCAAGAAGCTTACTTTTCTTCTTGGAGAAAGGTTCCATTACAGTGTACAGTGAACTAATTCATTAGAGCCCCACTTCCTTCCCGAAAGTTAAACTAAATAGCCCAAGTCCATTTATGTAAACTGCCAAAAAGAAAAAAAAATTAATGAAGTTCAAGTACTTAAAAAGAATAACAGACCATATCCTACTTTGCCCCTCAAAAATTATGTTTGCTTAAGCAGATGAGAAAGAATTTTACATCTTTCCACTGGTTAGACAGAAGTCAGCAATTAGTAGAGGAGATACAGGAACTTTGAAAACAAGATTTTGCTGAAAAGGAGGATGGAAGTAGAATGAGAAACACCGAGGCCTTAAGAATTTTATTTAAAAAAACCCTCAAAACAAAGGAAGTTTATTAACAAAATGGAAACAATATCCTTCTCCAGCTTTCTGTTTTCAGTAAATTTATAATGAGAAGTCAATTTTATACCAAGATGTCTGGCTTACCAGTTACAATAAAAGCTTTAAATAGTTCACATATATATGCTTTGAAAATATAACATATGACTTTAGTGCCATTAATATATTTTAAGAATACTTAGCAAACTTTAAAGATCAGAACACCAAGCTATTCCACTTGTTCTTACCCTGACAGAACTCATTAAATCCCAATCACTGCCTTGGATACACCTATCCTGATCTAAGAAAGTATACTTTTTCTATATTCAGTTTTTAAAATATACATTGTGGAAAAAAAAAATCATGTAGGTAATTTAAGTTACAGGTAGATTTATTTTACACATTAAGGTTAATGTTTCTTACATCAGATCTAGATAGAATCAGAGAAATTTTGGTTCAAAAGGACCACTAAGATCGTGTAGATCAGCACTTAACCCAATACTGGCAAGTCCACCAGTAATCCTCTACACATATATATATATATATATATATATATATATATATATATATATATATACACATGAAAAACTTGAGTTTATATGCATCTGTCTGAGGCTTCTGTTCTTCAAGTTTTTGTCCTGAATGATTCCACCTTTATATAAGTGGGGGAACTTTTCAGAGATGAGGATAAGAAAGGCATATATAGGCTCAGGAGTACCTCCTTGAATCATAGCATCGTTTAGGCTGGAAAAGATTCTTTAAATCCTCTGGTCCAACTGTTAACTGTTATTAAAAGGCCTTGATAAATATCAGCAGCCCATGTCAACTTACATGATTTGTAAATAAAATACCTTCCATTTTTCTTCTCCTATGGTAATTAGTTCTAATTGTCCCAAACTCAAGACACAACATGGACAAGTCATCACAAATTCTTCATAGGGATTTGAAAAATATTACCAGCATTTAAGTGCTTTATAAAGTATAAGATAGGTTATAATCTGACATTTTAATGTCCACTTGTGGAATGGGGGTTATTTAATGAAGATTTTCTTTAGCTTCCATGAAGTTCACATTCTGACATCTTTGCGATGGTCTGGGGAAGTAAATTAAACTTAGATTGTATGGAAAATCAAATTTATTAATTTAGGCCTCTTGACTAATGGGCTCTAAATTTTGCTTTCTCAGTTGTTGCAGTTCCAGTCCTTGAAAGTTTAAAGGCCTAAAAAGAAGCAACTGCCTCTTCAAACTGTAGAGGTATTTCTGATGCATGCAATCTTCAGAGTACCTTGACAACTTTCCTCAGCGACATGTCCAAAATGACAGAGGCAACCCTTCCAGAGTATCAAGAATATTGTTATTGCTCTTCTAGTTCATAAACTGCCCCTCTTCTCTCTTTTCTCTGCCTCGTCTCAAACACCTGTAGCATGAAAACACTGTAAACACTACACATGCAACTATGAGTTTCATTCAACTTGTAAAAAAGACAAAATAAAAAAAAAACCTTATCACATAAGCCCCCTGAAGAGACATGAGATTGCAACATATTATGAGAAGTATACAATTTTCAAAGCAAATGTAGGCATGTTATTGGCAAAATATGCTCCTTGAGCAATGCGCACATAAACAAACCTCTCCCTCACTGCTCCTCAGAACTGCAATTTACAGCCCTCTCAAACACCCAGGTTGTTTTACCCCAAAGGTTCCAAAAAGGTTGGCTTTCCCAAAGATGGTCCATTAGCCCGAGGGTGCAGATCGCCCACGCAGACTCAGGAAATGAAAACTGGATTTTCTCTTTTCCTTGGATTGTTTTAAGCCTCAGGAAAAGCTCAATTGACTCAGTGCTGGGTATCCCATACAGCTCAGCTTCTTCCACTGAGTCTCAATAGAAAATGCACTGCATGGGTGCACAAGAGAATTAACAGACAAACACCAATTAAAGCTATCATGATGTATCTTTTATTTCAGACTTTTTTGTGTGCTTGTGTGTGTATCATGGCATATTTCCCATCACTTCTCTTCAAAATCTTCCATGGGTGGTTTGAATAGCTTTCCTTATTCCTTTGAGAAGTAGCATGAGTAATGGTTTATAAAACTTTCTTACTAGAGGGATCACATGGAAATCTGATGTGACAAGACTGGTGAAGCACCAAAGACCTTGATGGGAGAAAATTAATGAATCAAAAGTCATGCTATTGGCACAAATCAATTAACAACTGACCCCTTCATGATGATTCTCCAGTGGTCTTTCCAAATGACACTCTCAAGAAGACTGAAAATACTTTTAAAGCTGGTATTTAAAGAGACCTGTCAATCACAACTATTTAAAAGAATTGCTGTGTGACTGTTCTCCAACTTTTGTTCAGAGATAAAGATTTTCATTCCATCTCATCCCTGTTTGCACACCGCAAGTACATTCTGTTTACCTGAGCTTCATAGAGGAATTACTCCCTGGGTATTTTGGAAAGCACCAAATACCTTAGTTTTCTGATTTTAATATTATAACTGGTCTTGGGACACTGCAGAGATCTTAATCAATGTCCTATGTTAAGCCTGACCAATCAGTCATTCTTCAGTACTTAAGCCCCATATAACCCATGTGCTGATACAGCAGGTAAAAAATAAGAGTTTCAGCAGTTGGTTTCTGAACAGGGCAAGAGAATTGTCTTCAATGAAGTGAGCACTTACTCAATTGGTTAGTGCAATGCATACACATGCTCTTGCTGTAGAATCCAGCTTTTATTCAGTTCACTGGTTTACATCTTTAGGAGTTTGTCAGCTTTAATGTTCAAACATAAATGCAGGGATCTGTAGAAATCCCTACAGAACTAGCTTGAATCTTATGTCAGGTATTTGTTATAATTGGCTTACTGAACTGCAAATTTCCTTTTGGTGAGACTTATTGAACAAGGGACCCTTTGTAGAAGGCAGCAACACTACTCTTTTTATTTGAGCTTACAGAACCCATAATTTGGGAATTACAAATTTACATCATTGTGAGATTTCCTTTTGCGCTCCTTGTAACTTCAAACCCTATGCCAAATTCTACCTTTACTTATCCCCAAGCAATGACTCACATCTCAAACTGCAGCTTGAAGAACAAATATCTCAGGTAGTATCAAGCTCTTAATGTTTCAATTAGAAGAGCCATAAATGCTCCAACAAGAATTAAATAAATTTGAATTCTATGTACAGTTCATATTAATTCCAGTCTCTTTCAGAACTGGAGATTCAGTGCAACAGATATGCAGGTTCTGCCAACTCTGCACATAAATAAATTGGACTTGATGATGGCACAGGAACAGCAAGATGCTTTTCTCCATGCCCAGCACTGTCAATGCAGAAGCAAAGAGGAATGGCTGTGTGAACAAAACCATGCTGCCAAATATCTGTACATGGAGCTGCTGCCCACTGTCTCTCAAAGCAGCCTGCAGACATTCAAAGAATCCAGGTGGTGCTGCACTGGCTATCACAACTAAATGTAAAAATCACTAACAATATTAATAATAACAAAAAATTTCATGTGTTCATTCACAGAAAAACAAAGCAAAACATTCTTCTTGATTCAACTGCGGCTGTAGCCTGCAAAGTGATTATGTATGAAGGAAAGAATTCAGTGTTCTTTTCAGCTTTCATGAATTAGCAGAGGTTTCAAATGAAAAGGAAAAAACAAGGTCTATGTGAGTTACAGTCTGCCCAATCTGAGAGCTGTTGTCACAATAAACACATAACCCATGACGTATTGCCCATATATATTTTCACTATGAAGCACAACAAAGACAGCAAGCATCCTTTGGCACAAAAGCTCCATGCACAACCTCCCCCCTGTGGCATTCTGTTCTGTTGCATTACTTGCAGTAGTGTGTACCCAGGAACTACACTCATAAGCAAGCACAACACTACATTCAGGCACAGAACCATCCTCTTCATAAAGTTTCAATTAGCATTTCAACTCAATTGCACTGTATAAAAAAAATCTGGGATACCACATACAAGATGTCATGGTTCATAAGAAATTTAATAATATATTTTATTTTTCCTATTGACATTACTTTGGTTCTGAATTCAAAGTACGAAGCCAAAAAAGTAAAATAAATTATCCTATGAAAGTTAACAAATTATTCCATTGTTTTTAATAGCACTGGGCAAATCCTACTGAATTAGGCATGAATTTGTCTCCTTTGCAATAAAGAATCTAAGACTAATACATTGTTCCCATTGTAAATCTCAGTTTCAGAGGTTACATGTTAACATTTTAAATCAGCTCCAGGCTTAAACTGGGAAATGCCAATTATTCCACAAGCATAAGAAAATACAGAAAGATGACTGACAACCAGATCTGCTTTTATGATCACTGCTAGCTAAATAAGATCCTTTATGAATTGACTAACCTGCTTGCTCTGTCAACTGCTGCACCATCTAAGGTACATTTGCACAAGCTCCCCTCAGCCAGCACACATTAAAAATGATACTGGGGGCCTTGGGAAGCAATTCCACAACGTGAGGAGTTACCCACATTTACCTGAGTCTTTTTCACCCGAGAACCATAGCTCCCAGGGAACTGCCAACATGCACGTTATCCCGAGGTAAACAGAAGACAATCTTCTCGTAGCTCTATCCCTATTTAACCCTGCCACTGCGTGCCACATGAACGACGTAAAACAGAGTGTTACCATCCCCAAGAACCGGTCATCCCTGGCTGGGGTCCGCGTGCCGCTCCACGGAGTGTTGCGGAGGGTGCACTTCAGGACCCGCAGCACCCTGGAGTGCGACAGTCCCGCCGGCTCCCCATGGCTCCCTAAAGGCGGGACGCCCCCGGCGTGGGCAGTGAAATCACGGGCTGGCCCTGGCGGTGTGAGGCTTGGACACCGCTCCAGCCCGGCTCTCCCTGCAGGTACCGTGCGCCCGCCAGCTCGGCCCGCCCGGCCGAAGAGTGCCGGTGGCGCCGGCCGGTCCCGCTGTCAGCGCTGCGCCCCAGGGCAGCGGCCGGGCCCGGGCAAGCCCCCCGCCCACGCACGACCCCGCGCCAGAACCAAACCCGGCCACAGCCCCCGCCAGCCGGGGCAGCAGTCCCAGGCGCTCGGACACTTACAGCGCTGGCAGAGTCCCGGCACGGCCGCCAGCAGCCAGGCCGCCCCGAGGAAGGCTCCGGGGCCGCGCTGGCACCTGGGCACGGAGACGATCCCCGCGGTGAGGCACGCCAGCAGCGGCACCCACATCATGCGCCGCGGCCGGCACCGCTCCCGCTCCCTCGCCCTCTTCTCGGGGCCGTGTCTCGGCGCCGCGGCGCGCTCAGTCCCGGCCCCCGCGGGGGCGGCGGCGGCGGCGGGGCCGGGGGAGGGGCGGCGGCGGGCCCGGCACAGGTAGGGCGCTCGGAGGGGCGGGCGGGGGCCGCCGCATCTCGGGGGCAGCGCCTGCCGCGCCTCCGCGCCCCGCCAGGACCGGCCCCCCCCCGGCGGCAGAAGGGCCCCGGCTAAGCGCGGAGCTTGGTTCCCTCCATTCGCTTCCAGCCCGGCGGCCAGGGGCGCGTCGCCGCCCGCCCTGCCTGGGGGGTGCGGGGAGGCTCCTGGCACCGCGCGGGGAGCGGCGGCGGCGGCGGCAGCTCCGCACCTCCCTCGGGCGAAGAGGGCGGCTGCCGGGGGGCGGGGACGGCCGCCCCCTGCCCGCCCCCGCCGGGGGCAGGTGGGCACTGCCCGCCGCCGTCCCGAGGCGCCGCCGGGGCCGCCTCTCGGCGCCGGGGGTACGGGGTCTGCTGAGGACGGCGAGGGGACAGCAGGAGACCGCGGCCGGCGGCGCTGCCCGGCCCCAGCGCGGAGAGTGCGGGTCCCCGCAGGTTGCCAGGAGACGGCAGCGGGGCAGGTTCCGCGAGCGGGAGTGCGGGGGCGGGCCCGGCGGTGAAGTCACTGTGGCCGCCCGCGCCTTTGTTCGCCGGCGGCTTCGGTCGCGGCCGCCCGAGCTCGGCACGGCCGCTGCCCCCGGCCGCGGAGGCGGACGAAGGCCGCGGGCAGAGCGCTGCTCCGCCGGCCCCCGCCGCACCTCGCCCGCCGCTTTGGCCCTGCGGCGGCCGCTCCGCCCCGCCCCGCCGGCTGGGCCGGCCCTCGCTGCGTGTGACCCCGCCGCCGCTCGCTTGTGCGACCCTCGCCGGCAGCGCCTCCCTAACCCGGGCGCTGCCCACCGGCCCGGGAACGCCGCCGCTTTCCCGGAGCGTCCCGCTTGCAGGAGCGCGCCGGCCCCTGGTGCGGGCCGGCAAATCTTCGCTACCTAAAACCACCTCTCCTCCTTTACCGCCCTCCCCGAATCGTTTCTCCCCGGAGTTTCCACCCCTCCGGGCGCAGTGGGTGTAACGCAAAGGTTAACCGTGTCCGGAAAGTACCGCGCCGTGCGGGCCAGGAAAGCCCCACCGGGCCAAGGTGCGACCTCGGCCGCCGCCTCGCCCGGCCCCGCTCCGCTCCACGGAGGAGCTCCCTGCAGCTCCCGTCCCTGTGCTCCCCGCGGAGCCTGTGGGTGGAGGCGTTTTCCCGGCAGGTAAAACCCACCTGGGCACCTCGCCCTGTCACACGACGGTGGCCGGGCCTCCGCCCGGCTGCGTTACGGGGTAGGTGTGCCGACCTCGGGTCCCTGGTGGCCAGCCGTGTGGCATCCTTCCTTTCTGATACCGACAACAGATGACTGCGCGCAGGATCCTAGGCGGATCTCTGTGCTGCATCCAAGCCTGTCTGTGCAGGGTACGTTTATAAATCCTGCAAATGCAACCAGTGTAAATAATGTACTGTTTCACTGTCTACGAATGAAGGGCTGCGGAAGCCTTTTCAGATCCCTTGCTAAGCCTTGAGAAGTTATGGATGATTTAGCATCTGAATGTCAGAGGTCAGAAGCTGAGCACGGTGAGTTTGTTCAAGAGTGCTGAGGAAGGGCTGGCAATGAAGCAATCTCGTGGTCCCACTCTGGAGTTTTTAAATGATGTATCATCTTTTTTGCTTCATTTTGGAAAAATCCCCCATTTCAGACATCTGACTGTCATTCCTTGAGTGGTCATAGCCCAAATGGGGATATGGGATGTGAGAAAGCCATATGCAATGACATTCAGAAAGAAGTGTAGTATCTGCAGGATTTCAAATATTGTGGCATTCTTAACCTAAAAGCTCTATGATTTCAGAGATCACAATCTCAAACACTGTAGGTGGATAGCTACAGGTCCCTTGAGAACTCATTGGGTACTATTTGAAATAAGATACACTGGTGACGAGTGAACTAAACTCAATTTACTCCTGTTGGGTCTTGTAATGTTTATAGATCATGATGCTGCAAATTTATGGTGATTCAAATCTATCTGGAAAAAAAGAATTCAGATGATACATCAAGAAATTCAAGGAAATAGCTTTAAACAAATTGCCAGCAGAAGCAAAAGTGACAGAAACTGGGATCTCCCTATTTTGGATTTTTCACCTGCATGGTCTAAATGGTGCTAATGGGAAGAACAATACAGTTGATATCCCATACAGATATATTGTGTATGACACTATATAATATAAATATAAATATATATATATAAATTATCATAAGCAGTATAAAGAAAATGGCTATGTCCTCAACAGCATGAATTATCTTCTGAATTTCTAAGCAAAGGCTGTTCATCATACAGGTAGGAATCAGTCATTCCATGCATTATTTCTGCTGAGAACATAATGCAAGAATTTGGTATTCTGGGCAGAAAGACAATACCTGCAGCTTAATGTGGAAGAATAAAAATGGATAATTTTCATATAAAATCTGATAATAGGGTTACCAAAATGAAACCACTCTGGTCATTAACTTAAACCCTGAAAACATAATGAAAAGGATGCCATTGTTGGGTGAGAACTATGAACCCTGAATAAAGTCACCAATAAAAAGTCCAGAACTGAAGATATAAATGGTTTAGGCCTCAATGTATAGAGGCTGCTGTAGGAGTTTAAAGTATAGTCTGCTGGTTTATGTAAAATGCCATATTTCTTTAGCTTCATTCGTCCCATGGTGGAATCCAAGGACTTAAAAACATTTACTTTGCAGTGATAGCATCTTTGAATATATTGTTATTTAGACAGTGTTTATAATGCGATAATACAATTAGGCAGGAGTTTTGAATAATAATTCTAGGCTTGCAGAGAAACTGAATCATCCAAGGTCACATATGAGAGTAAGTAACTCTTAAACTCCCATAACAAGTAATTTAACACCACTAGAAATGGATTTAAAGTCTCAATCCATTGTCCTATCCACAGGGCAGTGAAACCTTGAAGCAATGTGTTTGTGGCATCTCTGTCCTTGGAGAGAGTTAAAACTTAGCTGAACATGTTCCTAAGCAGACTGAACTAACTGAACCTGTTTTGAGCAGAGGGATGGTTGGGCCTCAGGGGACTTTTTCCAGCATAAGTTATTCCACAAATTTTTGTGGTGGAAAGTGTGTTATTATATTACATGTATCCCAAATTTCTTGAAGTGTTATAACTGTGGCTTCCTACCAGTATTTTACATTTGCTTTATTGAAACAAAATGCAATTGTCTGTCACATTGTTGGTGCATAGTCTCTTTTTTCAGGAAACAGCTTTTTCAGGAAAATATTGCATCTGCAATGAATGTTAACTATAACTGGTCAAAAACCTCAAAACTTTTCTTACAAAAACCATGCTCCTTTTTTTTGGTTGAATGTTTCCAACCTTCTTTAATGTGCCATTTCATTGGGGAGAGTCCAAACCAGGACTGCAAAGGGAAGATTGATGGTGCTTTGCAACTAATATCAAAGTTATTTTTTAAATAAGAAGTGTTATTTATTCAATCTTGTGATTTCTTACATTATCATGGAATCTTAGACACAATTAAAATCCCCATAAAAAGCATTCTGGTATTGTTAAATTAATTCTACTTTCCTCCAACTTCTCTATTTTAATAGTATAGAATCCTGCAAGTGTACAGTAATTGTTTTGGATTTGTTGGCTTCACTTGACCCCACTGACATGCAAATCTGATTTTTCTTGCAGTATAACTAACTAAAAGAATCATATGCTTGTCTGTCAGATAGAATTGCATTTGCTATCACTTGGGTTCATTTCTTTATGCAATATTTGAATCTAAAACTGCATCTGTTTCTTGTAAAAAGGTCAGTGTATTGTGAAAATTCATTATAACCCATCAATTAACAATTGAAAACCAATGACTATTTAAAAAAAAAATTGCCAAGAAGTCATAGGCCTCTTCCTCAGAAGTGCAGACTATGAACAATCCACCTATGCTGTTTATTATATACAGAAAAATTCTATATATAATTCCAGCTGCCTAATGTGATCCACAATTTTTTTAACAAAATGTGCTTTTATTTTGTAATTCTGAAAAAGAAAATCTGATGAAAAATGTAATGCATTTCCTTATAAGATATTAAAACTGCACATTGATTTTAGTTTCTAGGCTCAGTTCTTATTGCAAGAACTGACAATGCCAGTTTCCAAACTAGAAAAGTCTTTACTTCCCAAAATAGTATTTTTCATTATTTTTTTCATTAATACCTACCTTAGTTACCAGCCCATGCTACTGAACTTCCTGATGTACATGACACAAAGAGAAAATGGTCCATTTTACCATAAAATAGTAATCCACATTGTCCAATAATCTAATTTTTTTTGTGAAGGCTTACATTGATTTCAGGTA